GACTCAAAAACTGCATGACGAATTTCCATTCGACTTTCAATGACTGATCCCAAAAGAAAGTTTAGGTAAATATGCAATTTGTTATGGTATGGTAAAGCTAATATTTAGGTACTCACATAATGAATGGAAACACAGTAAAGTTACTAATTAATTTGATAACTGTAATGAAAAACCTCAATACACTTTTACAACGTTGATTAGATTACAGTAAGCATTAATTTACGAGCATTTTAATTACCTAGGAAACCTAAACCAAGTACTAAACATAACGATTAAGGATAAAAACACTAAAAAAAATCATAATTAGTTTGTAATAGTTGCAGGAGTTGCCAGAACAATCTTTACATGAGCTGCTGTTTACATGTGAACATTAGCTCATGACGATACCTAAGTACGTGTGTCGCCTGGACAGTCACCGCTACCATCAGTTGACTGGACAATCTCTTTACATGAGCTGCTGTTTACATGTGAACATTAGCTCATGACGATACCTAAGTACGTGTGTCGCCTGGACAGTCACCGCTACCATCAGTTGACTGGACAATCTCTTCATATGAGCTGCTGTTTACATGTGAACATTAGCTCATGACGATACCTAAGTACGTGTGTCGCCTGGACAGTCACCACTACCATCAGTTGACTGGACAATCTCTGTACATGAGCTGCTGTTTATATGTGAACATTAGCTCATGACGATACCTAAGTACGTGTGTCGCCTGGACAGTCACCGCTACCATCAGTTGACTGGACAATCTCTTTACATGAGCTGCTGTTTACATATGAACATTAGCTCATGACGATACCTAAGTACGTGTGTCGCCTGGACAGTCACCGCTACCATCAGTTGACTGTACAATCTCTTTACATGAGCTGCTGTTTACAAGTGAACATTAGCTCATGACGATACCTAAGTACGTGTGTCGCCTGGACTGTCACCGCTACCATCAGTTGACTGGAAAATCTCTTTACATGCAGTTGTCTATGCTCCAGGGTTATTCAACAAGTTAACAGTTAATAAAAATTGTTTATGTGACTTTTTATTTCACATAATTCATATTTTATAACTCACTTATCATTTTATTGTTAGCAATAAAAGATATTCTATTATAATTTCATAAAGCATATATATTTCAACCCATTCCTAAACTATAGGTTTCATAAGACCTGACTAAGGGCAGAGCCGTATTATCTGCCAAACAGGACAGTGAGTGGGGCGCCAGGTAAAAGAGGGCGCCGCGAGTCGCGCGTGCCTAACCACCGAGAAGGCGGCGTGGCGCCAAAAAAAAAAAATAAATGGCGCCAAAAAAAATAAAGGGCGCCAAAAAAAATAAAGGGCGCCAAGAAAAAAATAAAGGGCGCCAATGAGGTGCTTAGGGTACTTTATAGGCCTAATTCGCCTCTGACTAAGGAACAACAAATTAGACAGAGACCAGACAGTATAGATCTCTGATTGGAGATTTTAGCTGCAACTCCCCTGATCAATGATTGGATCATGCCCATGCCTATCTCTATTATGTAGAGGAGGTCCATAGTATAGTAGTGGACTATAACTTGTACATGATAAATATTCATACAATACTAGCAAACCCGGCGAACTCCGTTTCGCCACCAGATGGCTTCGTTTTGTTACATTTCGTTTGGTGATTTAAAGTGAATTTTCTTTGCTATAAATCTCACAAAGCCCGAGACCTTTCCAACGAATGGAAAACCGTAGAAATCGGTTCGTGCGTTCTGGAATTATAGCGTCAGGAAAGAAAACCCGACTTATTTTTATATAGTAGATTAAAAACTTTATAAATTACTTTTGGGTCTGGGCAGAACCGCATTTATCATCATCATCATCATCATCTAAAGCCTATAAGTGGCCATTTCTGACCAAAGGCCTCTTCTCACATGGAGGTTTAAGCATTAACTCGTCGAGTACCATATTTATAGACACAATTAAAGAACAATAGGTTGGGGTCACCGGTGACCGCTCGGTGTTTAACAGTTTAATCACCACGCTTGCTCAATGAGGGTTCACGATTTCAAACTTATAATTCAAAATTGTAAGCTCAGGTTGCCTCACAATGTTTTCTTTCACCGGTGGTGTCTAACATAAGAAAGTACGTATAACTCGGAGAAAGTCACTTTGGTACTTGCCGTTGGTAGGTTTCGAGCGCCCTTATGCATGAGCACCTCTGGGCCACCACCCACAAACTGTAACTGCATTACCTCTAAACAAAACTAAATGAAGTGTCTAGTCTATTGTAAACATACGACTTTTCAAAGACTTCTGTTCTCGAACAATATTAGCTTCTGATTTATTTCTTTGCAGAAACCAAGACAGTTGTTCATGTCCCTGGGACATTGGACTTCAGGGCTCCGGTGTTTGTATGGTTGTATCGACTGTAGATCCTGGTGGTTTTTCAAAAGTTTCCAGAGATTAAAAATAAATACGGTGTGTTTAAGTTATGAATTTACAGTCAAATATTGTTATTTTAATCTTCAGTATATACATAATCCTATACAGTGGTAATATTAAGTACGTATAAATTGAAAGTAATTAAAAATTAATTATGATAAAAGTTTGTGTGTTTGTTAATCAATCATGTCAAAACAGCTAAAGGGATTGAGATGGAATTTGAAACAGGGGTACATAATGGTCTGTGATAACACATAGGCTACCGTAAAATGGGGTGAATAGGGATCGAGAGGTGAATAGGAACATAAGAGAGGTGAATAGATATAAGGAAATTATTCATAGTATTGATTCACCCCTCTTCTGTCCCTTTTCGCCGCTCAAACCCTATTCACCCCATGTTATACCATACTTTTTATCCCACAGGCACACAGGTGAAGCAGCTGACAGAAGCTAGTGTTTATCTATTTATTAGTTACATAACTTCCAAGTAGAAACTACATGCTAAGATTTTTTTTAATTATTTTTATTCAATAAGTTACTTAATATAGAAAGAATTCATTTATTGAATGTATCTCTAAATATCCTTTTTAAATAATAAAAAGTAAAGCTTTTAATTTGTTTTTTTATTTCTATTTTTTTTTAATAAAGAAATTAGACTATGAATGTATGATCAAAGAGTTTCTGAACTCATATCTATTAGATAATAACTATCTGATATATTACTGATAAAAAAACGCGCGAATTTTTAATCTGTATGTAATCGTAATTAAACTACGCGAAAAAAATTACGAAGCGATTTTTTTTAAATAAAATATTAATTAAAATAAATGAGAAGTATATTCTATGTTTAAATAAACCACAGATGATCTATAGTTAATTTAAAGACGATCGAAGACGGCATTAGTGTCGCAAGTGATCCGGAAAAACTGGTCGTAATAAAATGAATACATTAAAAATATACTTCGTCGTCTGACCTACATATGTAACAAAATTTGAGATTTTTATAACAGTTTTACTTACCAGATATAATAACAGATTCCTCAAACACCACTCCACAAATCACTTTAATTATATTCTTCAAATATTACGTAAAAATACAACTTATTATTTTTCAACGATTTTCATACATAAATTCACTATTTTAACACAGCACTGCAGATTTAATTTGGTAATAATGTTCATTAACAGTTATACGACACTAATACGAATGTTTACAACTGTATACGGATAATTTTTCGCACTTATATCGATTAATTTACGGTCAATGAAAATATATACACTGAATTTATTAGTTTGTTAATATATGCTGGTGTTCTGTTGTGTTTATTATTAAACTGACGTCTATTTTAGGCCGTGCAGTCAGTCACATGATGCTAATTGAATGAATAAACAGTTTAAATTGAATAAAAAGTCATTGCAAGCTACTATGAAAGCAAGTAGCGAGTTATTTAGGCTGAATTTCGTCCTACTTTCGTTGGTAGGAAAATTGACGGGTAAAGTGAAGTGTTGTCAGAGTGTTGCCTAAAAAACTATCAAAATGAGTTAGACAATCATGTACAAAGAAAAACGTCACTATAACGAAATCCACATTTTTATATAAATTTGTTTTTGGGCCGACATTTGACCTCTGGGGCATGTCGTTCCATAAGCAGCCTATTATTAAATAACCCATAATTAATTATTGTATGAGTTTGTTTTACTGGTTGCTGTTGCTGGATTATGTCCCTCTTGATCACACGACGAGCTTATTCACTATACCTTCTAGTTTAATTACAATACCACCAGGTACACAAACTGTTGTATTGTTGTTTCTAGTTGCTAACTATCAGTGAGGAATCGGAACACTCTAGTGCTAGTGGACTCAAAATGGCAAATTCAAAGTATTTAACCGAGAAAACACCTATCTCCAATTCGTGGAAGTAATTCAAATCACGGTGCTAAAAAACGTTACTCCGGCGGCAATTCGGTGAATGTCTTATGTATTCTTAAATTGTGTAATACTCAACTCTAAGTAGTTTATTGTGAACTGTACGAACTTAAAAATGTCACTTCATGAAGTTCTTTGTGCATTTAACAAATATTCAAATATAAGTTTTTAAGAAGTAATGGTTACTTCAATTTATGATATTTTCTTACTAAATTATAATATTTTTATGGGCTAGCAGTACTTAACCTGAAACGTCATATACATTTCTTTTTACGCAATATTTATCCAACCAAAAATATTTTTGAACTACCATGTTAGTGTTAAGTACAATGTTAATTTCAAAATTAATAATTGATTAATAAGAATATAAAAACAGACTTAATTTAAAAGTTAATTATATACAGTTTCTTATTTAATTTTCGTGGAACTTTCCAATAAGAATTTATCTACAAAATATTGAACTTTGAATTGAAACTTTGACATCGTTCCTGGACCCCACCATTACATTTGACAGGTTTGAATGACATGACCTGATATTTTAAAAAAAAGTAATTCATATCGGGTCGGTCGTCTCGTTCATGATTTTCTTATTAGATTCCAATAAGCGAATTGGAAAAATCAAGTGATTCTAATCTTAAAATCGACGAATGATATACTTATTTGTGTAAAATGGCGACTCCAGCGGACGTGAGAGCAATATTCGAGGCGAGATTGAAGGAAACATCGCCACCACCGGACTTCCATCCACTCGACTTGGAGCGAGCAAAGGATGAAAAATACTTGAAACGAGTGTTACAACACACGGATAAAGATGCGAAAGAGGCGGCAAACATGCTCTGGGACATCTGTGTTTGGCGAAAATCTGTCGGCGCGAATGATATCAATGAATCTAACATTCGTATGGATTACGTGAAAGAAGGTATTTTTTTTACTCATGGAAGGGATATAGATGGTAGTCTTTTGTTCATTTTCAAAGCTAAAATGCATGTTAAAGGCCAAAAAGATTATGAGGAGGTGAAGAAAATCCTCATTTACTGGTTTGATCGCGCTGAGAGAGAAGAGGGTGGTAAACGAGTCACTTTGTTCTTAGATATGGAAGGTAGCGGGCTGGGCAACATGGATATGGAGCTAGTCAAGTACTTGATCACACTCTTCAAACTGTACTATCCATACTTTTTGAACTATATTGTGATTTACCAGATGCCTTGGGTCTTGTCAGCCGCTTTCAAAGTCGTTAAGACCTTACTCCCTGCTAAAGCCGTTGAACGAATGAGGTTCGTTACCAAAGACACATTAAAGGATGTAGTTGCCCCTGAACAAGCTTTAGTCAGCTGGGGCGGCAAGGATAACTACGTATTTGAATTCATTCCGGAGAACCGATCGGAACACACTCCGAAAAAAGTAACGTTTGCTGAACAGGGAGACAGTCAACATTCTCCTGGAGAGATGCTCCGTCTTGTTCCAAATGATACAATCATTTTCAAAACCGATGGGGATGAAATATCGGGACAATTCACCATTACGAATATGGATGACAGTGCAGTCTCTTTCAAAATAAGAACAACAGCCCCCGAGAAGTTCAGAGTAAGACCAAGCTCTGGTACATTAGCCACCGGAGCCTCCCAAACCGTCTTAATCGTAGTCCAACCTGGAATACATCTCCGAACCGTAACCAAAGATAGATTCCTCGTTATGTCCATCCAAATACCGAAAACTGATGTGACACCGAAAGAACTGACACAAATCTGGCACTCGTCCACTGGTAGCAAGACTGATGAATATCGACTCAAATGCCAGTTCCCGGAGAAAGATATACCAAAGAATGGTAATGTTACGGAAGGGTCATCTCTTGAGAAGTCCGACTCCGCAAGTTCAGCGCTGAGTAACCTGGAACAGAACTACGCGAAGCTGCACCGAGACTTGAAACAGCTGAAGTTGTTGCAATTTGTCACTTTAACGATGACCGTGCTGGTTGCGGTTTTAGGATACCTACTGTACGAGAATATGGTCGAAGAGAATCGGTATTGTGAACGTATGTAGCTGTTACAGAACGTGGTGTCCAACGCCACTTTCAAAATAGACTATGTAATGGCTATTTTTGCTGCGTTACTCTCTATTAATGTGTTACTATACATCATGTATAGCAAATTAGTCTATAAAGTAAGTTTATTATATGTGCATTAACTTTGGGGTTGTGGGTGGTTTCTTTATGAACATTCTCTATAATTAACGTACTTAAACTAACTTCAGTGTTCTAAAGTGATTAGTTTGTGAAATAATGCCCTAATTTGGACGATTGCTTATTTTGTTCGTACTCAGTTTGTGTGAAGGAAGCATTTCTGGGAAGGTCTACGAACAATAATTGTGAACAAGTGCACTACTGGTTGTCTTAAATTATGTAAGTAATACCTATTATTATTGTACCTATAAATTATTTTTTTAAAGCTCCTCTGATGACTCCAGCAGCTGTAGCCAAATGCCACTTAGCGCTTATCTACATGTAGAATAGAAAACTAAATTGTATGGTATTGACGTAAATTTTGACACTTTATTTTATTTTTTATTTATTTTTTTTATTTTATTTATTTATTTACTTACTTACATTTACCATTACAGGATGACCCAATGCGATAAATGCGAACTATTTAATCCTGACTTATTGCTTATAACTAATTACAAACAAAGCATTCCTTGTGAATTCACTCAGAGAACAGTAGAATAAGTCCGTCTCACTCGCTATGAGGTTGAGGCAAAATGTATGGGGATGACACTTGTCAGTGTCATCCCCATACATTTTGATTTCTACTCTCTCTGTAGACAAGCGCTGGAATGGCGTTTGCCTTAAGGTCCTGTATCGCCAATGTAGTAAGAGTTTACTCATCCAATAAAATATTTACTAAAGTGCAGACCATGTAAATGGGCATCCAATTTTTAAACAGCTCCAGTGATTGGTCAATTATGACCTCATGCTACTTTGGCGGTATCTGGATATATCAGAAAAACTGTAGCCCATTGAGACCCCAAAACTTTAAATGAAGCCTTAAATCTCTTTAACTACGAGATTCAAAATTTTGCATCAAGTAAGACAGTAGCTACATTTTTGGTTTTGAATGGCAACTGATTTTCCAATACAGTGTTATCGACTATACTGCCAGTGTCGAGTGATGATGGCAGGTGAATGAACTGCCGAACTTAATCTTTTTGGAAGTAATGTGGGATTTTTTTTTATATTTGATGGGCTTACGTTTGACCACTATCTCGCCTGGTGGTAAGCGATGATGTGGTCTACGATGGATCACGTCGTCCCATAAGCAACCTATTCAGTCGGTCCTTGAAGACTCCCAGGTTATACCCTTATTTATTAGTAGCTGCTAAGGACGAAACATTTGGGTTAGTAAACATTAGCTACTTGCGCTCGCTCTGCTCAGCGTCTATTTATCGTAGCGTGATGTTTTATAGCTTATAGTCTTCCTCAACAAATGGACTATTCAAGACAAAAATATTTATTCAAATCGGCCCAGTAGTTCCTGAGATTAGCGCGTTCATATACAAACAAAAGTCCTCTCGGCTTTGTGTAATACGTATAAAATTAAATATTTTTTTAATTTAATAGATAATTATGGAGAATGGTCATAATTAAGATGTTGTATCATATCTTGATGTTTTGTATGGATTAGGGTGTTTAGGTAGGTATATTATATTGTCAATTTTGAGTTAATGAAAATTGGGTACTTGCCATCATCGAAAATAAATTATTTCGACTGTTCAATACAATAGAATAATAAAAAATAATCACACTTTCATTAATTGATTTTATGACCAACTTAATTTTAGCATTCTTTCAGCAAATTTTTATGAAATAAGTATGTTGTTTGACGCTAAAAAAACGTGACGTCACAATACACAATCTCGTATTATTAATATTCATAGAAAACTCTCGTTTTTGACAGTTCGAAAAATGTATTGAATTTGACTAGTTGGTAAGTACCCAATTATAATTTGCTGTACGAAGGCTTAAAACTTAGGTAATTGTGCATTTTTTTGAAAAGCCTAAAATTTTGCATGAATTGTTGTTTTTTGATGTGTAGAAACAGAGATAAAAAATGTTCGCATCTTCTTTGAGAATAAATTACTTTCACCGGTATAGGGTAGTGATGACTAATTTTTATATAAATGTCCGACTGGTAGATTTTTTAAAAACATTAGACACGTATTTTTTTATTTTCTTACGGAAACAATGCTTTATACGATTTAAATCATCGTGTGACGTCACTTGTGTGTACGTGTTACTCAAAAATGACGTAGCTTGCTCCCACTTCTAAACTTCGATTCGTTTTATCTAAGTATTGCTTTCTTACACGACGAATAAAAAAATATGCGTCAGATATTTTTTCATTACCTAGCTGACGGACTAATTAGATTTTTAATTTTCATATTGTATCATCATCAGAATATATTAGATTTGGCATAAAACTTCTAAAACATTCCTTGTAAATAAAAAGACTTTTAAAATTATGCATTTATGTTTTTCATGGATGAATCATCTTAAAATGTTAGATGATAAACTGATTTTTTGGAACTGCAAATATTGAAATATTTTTTATCGGAAATAAAAACGTGTTTGGAAATTGCAAAATTGCCGGAAATAGGCTATAACTAATTTGATCTATGGAACTTCATCCAAAATGTACCTTTATACAAAGTTAATAAATAGTCTTTATACACAGATAATCTTTTTCAAATCGTCTTAAAAATAAATCGTATGAAAAGAATGCACAAAAAACTAAATTGTCCCATACTTAAGCCCCTTTTGCCCTTTTGGAATACGAAAACTGATTTACCCTAACCGAATTTCGGCATTATACTTGAAAATATCTTCGACAATACTTCTAAAATCAACTACCTAGGTCGATAAAAATAGATACAACAGCTGACTCATACGAAAAGATACCTTTTATCAATGTATTACGGATAAATATTGTTTTGGATTGATTTCGATCCAACCTTTATATGGTCGGTGTTGAATCAATTCAGTCGCGTCGGCTTTTAGACCCACGCCAATTGTTCACAATCAATTTATCGTCTGGGCGTTGGCATGGGGACTCATTCGATGTAATTTTCATATCTTAACAGCAGCTCATGTGAAGAGATAGTCCAGTCAACAGATAGTAGCGGTGACTGTCCAGGCGACACACGTACTTAGGTATCGTCATGAGCTAATGTTCATATGTAAACAGCAGCTCATGTAAAGAGATTGTCCAGCCAACTGATAGTAGCGGTGACTGTCCAGGCGACACACGTACTTAGGTATCGTCATGAGCTAATGTTCATATGTAAACAGCAGCTCATGTAAAGAGATTGTCCAGCCAACTGATAGTAGCGGTGACTGTCCAGGCGACACACGTACTTAGGTATCGTCATGAGCTAATGTTGACATGTAAACAGCAGCTCATGTAAAGAGATTGTCCAGTCAACTGATGGTAGCGGTGACTGTCCAGGCGACACAACGTATGTACATAGAATTAGTATCTTTATCAATAGGTGGAATGATTACGTTTAAATATTAATCATTCTTGTAAAAACAAATTACTAAATATGGTCAAATTATACAGGTGTAGGATCGAAACACTCAGGATACCCTTAGAAGACAAAAACGCATGCTAATTAATATATTTTTCTTCAACACCGAGGCCATAGTAATGTCATTGTCTGTAATACATCGAAAATCATTTCGATCTCCCTACAACAACTTGTAGAAATCGTTTTAAAATGGTTTCAAGCTTAGTAGATAGGTACTACTACTATTCCGGTTCAACACATATGTTTATTACGATCCCTGTTTCATAGTTTCAGTCCAAAAATGGTTTACTTTCAAGTACCTACGAGATTTGAAATGAATAGCCTGCTGTAAGCCTCATCGCACGAATAATAAAAATATTACACTAGCTTCTGCCCGCGACTTTGTACGCGCAATCGCGAAAAAAATTTAGGGTTGGACTACTCCTAACATTTAGGGGGATGAAAAATAGATGTTGTCCGATTCTCATAGATACCGGATAAGCACAAAAAATCATCATAATCGGTCAAACCGTTTCGGAGGAGTATGGCAACGAAAACTGTAAAAAATACGAGGATTTTTATATTAGATAATATTCTTATCCTTTAGTTTCATGATCATTATTTTGAACTTTGATATTTGAAAATAACTACGTACATAAGAACTTACGTCTTTGCCAATGTTTACTTATAACTTGAAACGACGACGTAGACTTCAATAAAAACTATTTACGCAAGTTTGTCAAGAAATAGATGAAGTCTGTTCACTCAGTTGCCTTGATAAAATTACTTTAAGGTGAACGCACATATCCCCGCCTCAAAACGTCCGAATCCGAAGTTTGCGTGGTATATAACATACTAGCTTTTACCCGCGGCTTCGCTCGCATCACAAAAGGATAAAAAGTAGCCTATGTGACATATACCAATACTTACAGCGCCATCTATACCAACACTTTAGTTTTCCCTCGGGAATATCAATTTTTTCAGGGATAAAAGTACCCTATTATTTAATCCAGACTACTAACTTTACGTCTGCAAAAATTCAATGCAATCGGTTTAGTAGTTACGGCGTGAAGTCGGAACAAACAGACAAACAAACAAACTCACTTTCCGATTTATAATATTAGTAAGGATTATACAGAATTCTTTTTGTTCTACACGTTTGATGTGTTCGGTGCGGATAAGTGTGCGTCCACCTTTCTTTTAACGGCCAATACTAGCTACTACTCCGCTCTTTCATCCACTGCTCAGCTCCTATTAATCGTAGCGTGATGTTTTATACCATATAACCTTCCTCGATAAATGGACTATCCAAAACAAAAAGAATTATTCAAATAGAACCAGTAGTTCCGGAGATTAGCGCATTTAACCAAACAAATATTTCAAGTTCATAATATTTTTTTAAGTATTTTACTTATTTATGTTCTCACATTATACATTTGAATTCAACTTTTTAAGGTTATTTTTTTGTTTTTCGTTGCTCAAATGAACGCTAAGTGAGTTGGTCGACTACAAAGTTTTTGAATAAGATGAGAGCAAAGTAATTTTGGAATTTGATCACCAAACAAGTTGTGGTAATCTTTAAATATAGGTGTAGAGGCCAGCCAGATCAATGTACTCCCAATTTATCAAATTTATTTATTGGATTTTCGACTTTATATCATTAAAGGATCCATAAAGTACGTCAAACGAATTTTGCTAATTTGAACTTTTCCGAGTTCTAAGATTATTCAGACACCACTTACAAACGGTGAAGGAAAACATCGTGAGGAAACCTGGGCTTATAATTTCTAATTATAAGTTTGAAATTGTCAGCAGCGGTCACTTATAAACTGTTGAAGTTGAAGAAATAATGATGTTTATTTTTATATTGGCATCTAGTGTAACTTAATAATGTTAAAGCGAATGTGAGTATAATCATTTGTCACGCTAATTTAAGAAAACGTCTGAACTTATTTCGATGGCTTACGGTAAATGGGAATAATAATAATAATAATGGCAATAGTTATCGTTTAATACTAAAAATGGAGTTAGATTGGTTTTTTTTTTACAAAAAATCTGTTTTTTTTTTAACAAAACTACGAGCAAAGGACTGGTAATGGCTGATATGTGACTGAATTTAAAAAAGCAAATAGTCGATCGAACCGAATCGTTATTTTGGACCGTATTCATTGTATACAGCGTTCTTTTTCAATGGATACCTCTGGGCCCTCGAACCAAATTGACGGTACGATGACGGTTTGGTTCGGTCGCCTATTTACTTTTGTGCTTTTGGCCTACAGCTGTGTTAGGCAGATTGAAATAAAAATATGTGTGAGGCAAATAAAAGTTCGTTTGCAATTGTTTTCAGGGAAAAACACCTTTGTTTGTTAAACTGCACTTTTTATATGGAACTTTTATAGTAAAATAGGTGTTTTTCTGTTTGTTTTTATTATTTTAGTAGCTTCTGCCCGCGACTTCGTACGCGCAATATCGTTTTCTCCCGTTCCCGTAGGATTTTCAGGAAGTTTCCTGTCTTCAGAACCCTCTCCTGACAATAATAAACACAACAAAAAAATCAGCCAAATCGGTCTAACCATTCTCAAGTTATGGCGTGACAACGGGAAACTGGTTTCATTTTTATATACATATATAGATAAGCTGCACATACTACCAATACCCACCCAGTGATGTGACTACAGCTAGGCTATTCTGTAAAATTACAATACGGTAGTTGATAAGTAGTCAAATTCAATTCTTCTATCGAAACGTCAAAAAACAATACCTACTGTTCTATGAATTATGTACGAAAAAATACCATCTTATGACGTCATCATATTTTCGCGTCAAATAGCACACTTATATCTAAAAAAATGCTAGAATAAATTAAAAATTAAGTATATCGACAAATCGATGAATGAAATTGTAACTATTTTTCAATATTTAATTGGACTGCAAAATCTAAATAATTTATTTTTGACCCAAGAAACTATCCAATTCAAACTCGATGTGAGCTCGATCGCATTCTCGCCCGTCATTGGCCGAGATTATACTTTTAACCAATGACATGGCCGACCACGATTAAGGTCTTATCTGAACTTCTCCCCTTTTTTTAGAAAAGAATGTGTCCATTCGATGAATTTGCTATAGGCCTCGAACGGTATAGTCACGCCTCTGATGCTCATGCAACATATTATTTGAAAACCCTGCCTGATTCAAAATGAATTTTAATATTCCGAAGAAAATTATTGTCAAGAAAAAAAAATTATCGTGCTGTACGTAATCGTTCTATTTTTTAAAGTGATAACTAATTTTATTACCGACTTCAAAAAAAGAAGAAGGTACTATGTTCGGCTGATTGTTATTTTATTTACTATATAATTACAATTAGAATTAACGTATTAGAAAAAAGTTTCTCAATTAAAATAAATATTGTAATCAAAAACGATTTCTAAATCAGTAGAACCAGGTGTTTTATCAACGTTTATCTAGCCGTTTATGGAACAAAGTCGATACTTGATAGATACCGATATTACGCCATGATATTGTTTTATCTTGTAAATTAGTCATTGTGTCGAACAAAAATAGATATGTAATTAATAATTTGTTTGGTCCAAAATGCTAGAGAACTTAGTATGATTTTGTTAACCAAAACCGAAATGTTAGCCGCTTTTGGCGCTCTGATTGGATGGTTCTTTGAAGCAGGCCAATCAGCACCGAACGCGGTATAGTAGCTAGTATGTAAACGGCGCAGATCTCTTACCATAAGGCAATTCGTTAGTTCGTTTGATCGCATAGAAAATATGCGAGTTTAGATCAAGCATAAAAACATTCGATTTTTAAATGTTCCATTTTTAAAACACGAAATGCGCACCAAAAATAATGTCTTTACTTTCTTTGACATAGTAAATTGTTTGAAATTGGTAAAATACTTGTTAGAAATACTTCAGAACTAATTTGTTATCTGTAAAATTATTGGCTTTTTTGTTTTTAATTTTTGTTGTTGTCATATTTTTTTTTCGTTTTACGTTCTGTGATCAAGGTAATGCAAAGTCTTATTAGCTTTATAATTTAGGCATTTTAGCGTTTAAAAAATATAAAATGTCAATGTGAATGAAGCGTGCATATTAAAAATTAAAAAATATATCTATATTTATGTAAAATTCTTTTGAAGAAAAAAAAATGTAGTTTGTAAGTTTGTATTTGTAAAAATCGTATTAGAAAATTGGGAACTAGAGGAATTTTGTTTGTTATTTATTCGATGGGGTATTTAAATTCGTGTTTTAATAAAAATGTAAAAAGTAAACATTTAATTTGTAAAATTGTGTTTAAACTGCACGAATGATATCTACACCTTAATATGTGCACAATTATTAATTATATTCATAGATTTAAGCGGTGTTGTAGATATATACATTTATTTATGTATAATTTTGGGTTGACCTTACTTATATTGGATTTTTTTATATAATTCATGAATTTTATTAATAGAAATAGTTTTAATCCAAGCTTAGATTTCAATACTGATTATAGTAATATGATGTTGAAGTCTGATTATAATAAAGCAGATATTCTTGATCTTTTAAAAGAATATAGAGATAAGTATCATATCTGATTTCATTCCTTTGTTTTGCACAAAAATAAATTAAATATCAGAGTAAAGGCCTAGGTCACATACGATTATCTATAACGGCTTTTATTATAATTAGTCATACAGTGCAGTCTGGCCTAAGGTTTTAATCTGTGGTCTGTCAAAAACTTTCCCGCCTTTTTTATGTCTAATAATGGCGGAATAAGTTTTTTCACGTAATGTTTTTATTTGTAATACATAATAAGATCCGATGTATTTAAGGTTTAGATAATAAGGTACGGCTATAATGTTTTGTTTATTGTACTTTATAAAGCTTCATGTAATAACAAATGGAAGAAATGGTTTGTGTAAAGAATGTTTAATAAAGCGTAAAATACTAATTGTTTATTATTTCCTTTATTTATTTCTATATGTACTTGATTTATATATTTTTAAATATTTGATTATATAAAAAAAAAACATTTAAAAATATAAAAAGCAGTAGCCCACCACCCCACCAGTAACGGGAGAAATCCAAGCTACCGGTGGTCAGGGCTCCAGAGAAAGAAATTTCCGAACAATACGCACCGTGTCCAGAAGTACCTACTGCTTTCTTATTGTGTTAATTATTAGTAGGTACCTAATGTTTTATTGTCTTTCAAAAGTAGGATTTCAGAAAATAAAACTATAATGACCATAGTAAAATATATTTTTAATCATTTCTTTTCAAAGACAACAGAAGAGACCACACTGCCTACTTTCCCGCCAAATCTGAACTGCGGAGTCGGTAGTACGCGTTTTAGTTTCATTTTTTCGGAAAAATGCTTTATTAGTTCTTCTTCGGTCCAATTACATGAAGTTATTATGAACAGACCTGAAAAATATAATAAAGAATTAAGTAAAAAAGGGACGTAACTTTTTACTGGTGTGGACTGTTTACAAGAGCAATTGTCTGAGCAGAGGATCTCAGCTTAGGCATTCCGAGTGGAGTAAAGTATCCAGCATCAAAAATGTATTGTTCACAATGTAAATACATACGAGGTAAGTATTATATACTACTTGTACAGTACATGAGTACATTTAAGTGTGGGAGAGCCATGCTTCGGTACGAATGGGCCAGCTCGACCGGAGTGATATCACGGCTTGCGTTGTTTCGTCGTGTGAGTGAGGTTACCGGCGGCACAACTATCTTTCCCTAATCTTCCCAATTCCTGAATCTCCGACATTCCTCAAATTCCTAATCCCTAAAAGTCCGGTAACGCACTTGTTACGCCTCTGGTGTTCCGTATGTCCCTGGGCGACGCCGATTGCTTACCATCAGGTGATTCGTCTGCCTGTTTACCGGCTTATCCCATAAAAAAAACTAGTAAAATTTTTCCGCAATACCACGAATTCTGAAAGCGAGCAAGGGCAACGAAGCGCTCACTGACAAGCGCTAACACTCCCTCCCGCCTCACTCAGGCGGGAGCAGTCATTAGATAATTTTCCCCCCATAAAAAATCCCATAATTATGTACAAAAATAGAAAAATGTATTTGCTCACCATCATCGCTAAGTAAATTATCGACTTGTTCAATGTACTTTTCTCTGCATGTCTTCGGATCCTCAGGGTTCAGTCCGATGGCATCGTATGTGCCTTTGTCGTGGACAATACCGAATTTACCTAGCTCTTTGACACAATCGTGGGTTATATCGAATACCTGGAATAGAAAATAAGTAAAAAATTACAATCTGAATTATTATGTACTAGCTTTTACCCGCAGCTTCGCTCGCGCCACAAAAGGATAAAAAGTAGCCTATGTGACATATACCAATCCACACAGCGCCATCTATACCAATATTTTTGTTTTCCCTCGGGAATATCAAATTTTTCCGGGATAAAAAGTACCCTATATTTAATCCGGACTTCTAACTTTACGTCTGCAAAAATTCAAAGCAATCGGTTTTGTAGTTACGGCGTGAAAGCGGAACAAACAAACAAACAAACTCACTTTCTGATTTATAATATTAGTACACGCGTACTTAGTGTTAAAGGATCGATTGCATCGTTTAGCTAAATTTGCATGGTACTTGGCGACTGGGCTTCTCCCAGTTGCGGAGCCTCTTTTTGTGCCTTTTCATTACGCCGGGGTCGTGCGGTCCATGGCCCTCTACGGCGCCCCTGTGTGGGCGCCGAACATGCTGCGGCGTCCCGTTCGGACGCTGCTCATGTCACAGAGGGTCACGGCCATCCGAATGATCCGCGGATACCGCACCATCTCCGGGGAGTCGGCGAACCTCCTTGCCGGATTACCGCCGTGGGATCTGGAGGCGAAGGTGCTCGCGCGCGTGTATAACATGCGCGCGGAGGCACGTCGCCGGGGCGAAACTCCGCTGCCGCGCCAGATAAGTGCGTGGCGGGATGAGCTCCGGCGCGATCCCATGGCGGAATGGCAGCAACGACTGTCGCAACCGAGGGCTGGGCTCGCTGCCATTGCAGCGGTAAGACCCCTCTTTGAGGAGTGGCTTGAGAGACGCTACGGCGTCCTCACCTACCGCCTGACGCAGGTCCTCACCGGACATGGAAGTTTCGGGAGGTACCTGTGTCTGATGGGGCGGGAGGAAACGCCCGGGTGTCATCACTGCGAGGACCGCCCTGAGGACACGTTGCAACACACTGTAGCGGAATGCCCTGCGTGGGCTGAGCACCGCCGTGCCCTCAGGGAAGTGATCGGCGATGGCGACCTCTCGCGTCCGGGCCTAGTGCAGGCCATGATGCGGAGCGAGGGGGACTGGGATGCCGTCTCCTCCTTTTCCGAAGCAGTCATGCTAGCTAAGGAGGAGGCGGGACGCGTGAGGCAGCGAAGCGCTGCCTCCTCGCAACCCAGTCATCGCGAAGGACACACCGGGCGTCGGGGATCGCGGGACGATCTCCGGCCACCGTAAGCGCGGGCCTGCGGACGGCGAGCATGGGTGGCTCCCCGTCCGACCAGAAACAGACCCGAGCGTACGGCGCGTCGCGTTCCGCGCGCGCCTCAAAGAGCCATCAGACCACCACAGATGGGGCCCAATAGGGCCGATGCCGATTCGGAGTCGCGGAGAACCTAACGGGTAACCGGGGCTCCGGCTCGACGTGCAGGAGAAGGAACGGGGTGGTTTTTAGTCAGTAAGAGTCTGACACTCCCTTCCGCCTCACCCAGGCGGGAGCAGTCATTCGATGATTTTCCCCCCTTAAAAAAAAAGGCTTAATTCATTGTCACCATCAGTAATAGGGATGATGACAGGGTATGAAAGTTAAAAATCTAATTAGTCCATAAGTTAGGTAATGAAAAAATATTAGACACATATTTTTTTATTTTGCCCTATAAGAAAACAATACTTAGATAAAACGAATCAAAGTTTATGAGTGGGAGGTAGCTACGTCATTTTAGAGTATAAATCGTACTCAAAAGTGACGTCATGCGATATTTCAAATCAAACTATTCGTTTCCGTAAAAAAAGACCGATCGAGATGGAGAACCTATGTGGACGCCCTCTGCCCCATCTAGGGGATATAGGAATTTAAGTAAAGTAGGTCAAGTCACCTATCAGGGTGAGCTGGAATAGAAACGAATTTACAATACCTGATCATAACTAACTGCACGGATCAACTGTTTGTGTGATACACAGATAGTTGTTCCATGTGTGTGTGATGTGTATGTGAACTTGTATGTTTGTAAACGCACACACAATACTAGAGAAAATCCTTGTGTGGGGCAATGTTGATAATTAAATAAAAAAAAAAATACCTTGTACTTTATATGTGGGAACTCGGCCTGTGACACCTTCTCAGCGAGGACAATGGCCTCCTGGCAGTAATCAACTCCTGTTAGATTCGTGAAACCTTCTCTAGCCAGCTCTGTGAGAGTGTAGCCATTGCCACAACCTGGAATTTAATTTTGCACTGTTAAATTGTTGTATGATCATAATCATGGTGACCCGTGGTATGACGTCATGGTGGCCCGGAGGTTTAAGACGCCCACTTCTCATGCATGAGGGTGCGGGTTCGAAACCTACCAACGGCAAGTACCAATGTGACTTTTTCCGAGTTATATGTACTTTCTGAGATTATTTAGACACCACTGACAAACGGTGAAGGAAAAACATCGTGAGGAAACCTGGACTTATAATTTCTAATTATAAGTTTGAAATCGCCAACCCGCATTGAGCAAGCGTGGTGATTAATGCTCTAACCTTCTCCGTGTGAGAAGAGGCTTTGCTCAGCAGTGGGCATTTATAGGCTGTTGATGATGATGATCATAATGCATAGATTTTTGATTTTTAATATGTACTTAGATTTTTTATTTAGACTGCCTCGTTGGCAGAGCGGTCGCAAGCGCAAGGGGTCTCGGGTTCGATTTCCGGGTCGGGTAAAGTATCACTCGGTTTTTTTAAAATTCTCAGTAGTAGCATTGAGTCTGGAATTGTGCCCGGTATATGGTAATAGGCTCACCCTCTATTACATGGCACTCATAACATAAATAGTGAAAAGTGGGTGTTACATTGTACAGTGGCATAATGTACACCTCTGTCTACCCCTTCGGGAATAAAAGGTGTGACGTTGTAATTCTAGATTTACTATCTTTGCCAGCTGCTTTACCTGTTCTCGTGCGATAAAATTTACTACTATACCAGGTTATATTATACCTATTTTTTTAAAAACCCAGTAATACTTTGTAATACTTAAGTTTTTTCTTCTACTTTTATTCAGGCCATATGCATTAAACTCACCTAAATCAATAACGGGTGTATCCTTCTCAACCCCGCAGTTACAGATCCAGTCAATCACTCTATCTGCGCTGTCCTCACCAAACCACACCTCCCCGCTGTCACCACTTTCCTCGAAGTTCTCTATTTCTCTTATATAGGACCTCTGCCAGTACTCCTGGGTTCCTAGCTCCGATGGGTCGAGTTCTGAGTCATCCATAGTCCTGAAAAAGATTGATGATCTTGGATAAATTACTAGTATTATAAACTAGTTGTTGCCTACGACTTTGTCTACATAGACTATGAATTATAGAACATAAGTGACTCTGTTTCTGATTCAATTTTCAAAAATCTAAGTAGCCTAATTTACTCCTTAGTATATCAGCTACCTGCCAGCTAAAGTCCCGTCAGATCAGTCCAGCCATTTCAGAGATAGGCCAGTATGAACAGACAGACATACAAAAATTTTTTTAAATGTATTTTTGGTATGTTTTTTAACTCGTCGAGTACCGGTTTTATAGACACAATTAATAGGTCGCGGTCACCGGTGACCGCTTGGTGTTTGACAGTTTAAGGGAGGTAGGTTGCATATGTTAGTTCATATGCATGTAGTAAAAAGCGATTATTTCAATAATACAAACAGACACTCCAATTTTATTTATCTGTATTTTTTTTTAAGGGGGGAAAATCATCGAATGACTGCTCCCGCCTGGGTGAGGCGGGAGGGAGTGTCAGACTCTTACTGACTAAAAACCACCCCGTTCCTACTCCTGCACGTCGAGTCGGAGCCCCGGTTACCCGTTAGATTCTCCGCGACTTTTTTATCTGTATAGATGCGGTAGTTTATGAGCCTGGTTTTGTGTGTATGTTTGTTACTCAATTACGTCAAAACTGCTGAAGGGATCGTGATGAAATTTGGAACAATAATAATAATAATAAACAAAAGAGTGGAGCGCTATACTCAGAATCGCATGTTCCAAAGAGATCAGAGGTGGGTATACAGAGATTGGGAACGATCCAACCAAGATGTGGCTGACGGGCGGCGACCGGATGATGATGCCACTAACACATTTTGGCGCAACATCTGGTCGGTACCTGTTAGCCACACAGAAGGTGACTGGATGTGTGATGTTAAGCGAAGGTGTGAGACTATACCAGAGATGGAGGAGGTAGAAATCACCTCCTCTGATGTAGCCAGTGCAGCCTGTTCGGTTCCGAATTGGAAATCACCGGGGCCGGACGGACTGCACAATTTCTGGATTAAATGGTTCAAGAGTTCACACGTTCGCTTAGCATTACACTTCCAGGCAGCTTTGGAAACTGGGTCGTTACCACAATTTCTAACAACAGGAGTTACCCACCTGCTCCATAAATCAGGTAGTTCCACTGAGCCCAAAAATTATAGACCAATCACATGTTTACCAACGGTCTATAAACTTCTTACATCCATTTTGAGGACAAAAATAACAAAACATATTGAACAAAATTCCATCATGTCTGTGTCTCAAAATGGATGTAGGGAGGGGTCTCGTGGAACTAAGGAGCTACTCCTCATTGATATGGTTGTTAGCCAACAGGTTCGTCGGTCCCGAAAAGATTTGTCTACATGCTGGATAGACTATAAAAAAGCATATGATTCTGTGCCACATACATGGCTCCTGAAGGTGCTGGAGTTGTATAAAATACATGCAAGTTTACGCGCCTTCTTGGAGTCATGTATGAGGCAGTGGAGCACCGTGCTTTGCTATCCGGGATGTAGACAAATCCAAGGGAATGAAGAACCTGTAAGGATAGTACGAGGAATATTCCAGGGTGACAGCCTGAGCCCACTATGGTTCTGCTTGGCCTTGAATCCTCTAAGTACTCTACTGGAGGATTCAGGGCTAGGCTATCCTTTGCGGAGAAGGGGTTTAGTTATATCCCACTTACTTTACATGGATGACCTCAAGTTGTTTGCTCCAAACAAGAAACAACTGACGGAACTACTGAATATAACTGAAAAATTTAGTAGTTCCATCAGAATGGAGTTTGGAGTAGACAAGTGTGCGGTCATGCATGTAAAGCGAGGAGGGATTGTGGAATCTGAGGGACTAGAACTCTCAGATTTCACAAAACTGAGATCACTCTCCGCAAACGATACATACAAATACCTGGGTATATCAGAAGGATTAGGCATTAATGGACCGGACATGAAGCAATCGTTACAGGAGCGCTTCTTTGGCCGCCTGAATAAGGTACTCAAAAGTTCCTTATCAGGCGGAAACAAGGTGCGAGCCTTTAACGGTTGGGTCATGCCAGTCCTAATGTATTCTTTTGGTATACTCAAGTGGACACAGACTGAACTTGACACCCTGGATAGACGAGTCCGGACCCTGCTGACTGCAAATCGCATGCATCACCCTCGTTCGTCGGTCATGAGGTTGTACATCCCGCGGAAGTGTGGTGGTCGAGGCTTATTAAATGCTAAGACCCTTCACAACCGTGAGGTGTGCAGCCTCAGGGAATATTTCCTGAAAGTCAACGAGGGTATGCATCGAGAAGTAGCAGCGGTGGACAATGGATTCACTCCACTATCCTTGGCAAAAGAGAACTGGCGCAAACCTGTTGTACTGAGCGTCAATGATCGCAAGGAGGTATGGCATAGCAAGGAGCTCCACGGACGCTTCTTCCGGGCCCTTCATGGGCCCAGTGTAGATTTTCTAGCGTCCGTGTCTTGGCTACGATTCAGTAATCTCTTTGGGAAACTGAAGGATTTGTCTGTGCAATTATGGACGAAGTTATCCTTACGAATAACTACCGGAAATATATAATTAAGGATGGGACGGTTGACATATGTCGGGCATGTCATAGTCCGGTGAATCCATTAGACATATTATTTCTGGTTGTGGTCGTTTGGCTAACAGTGAATATTTGCATAGGCATAATCAAGTAGCCAAGATTATCCATCAGCAACTTGCTTTACACTATCGACTTGTTGATTCTGAGGTACCGTACTACAAGTATGTGCCCGACCCAGTTCTGGAAAATGACCATATCACATTGTACTGGGACCGGTCTATCATTACTGACAGGACTATTGTAGCCAATAAACCTGACATAGTAGTGATAGACCGTCAAGTACGTCGCACGATGATAATCGATGTCACCATTCCCCATGACGAGAACCTCGTGAAAGCTGAGAAAGATAAACAAATAAAATATCTAGACTTAGCTCACGAGGTTGTCGACATGTGGAGTGTGGATTCGGCTATCATTGTGCCGATAGTCGTGTCGGCTAATGGGTTAATCCCTAAAAGCCTCGACATCCATCTCAGGAGGCTGGCGTTAGGTGGATGGATCAAGGGCCTGATACAGAAGGCAGTTCTCCTAGAAACGGCACGTATCGTGAGGAGGTTTCTGTCTCTGGAGCCCTAACCACCGGTAGCTTGGACCATGCTCCCGCTACTGGTCGGGTCCTATTTTTTATATTTTTAAATATTATTTTTTTTATTTTGTAAGTAGTATTTAGAAATATAATTTATGGAGAATTTTAAATAAATATATGTAAATAATAAACAAATAATAAACGTTTATTAGCGCTTCATAGAATTAACACAGTGAAGCCCTGGCTCTTGTACTAGGTATCCCTGTATCACAAGACCCAGGTCTCTCAACTCTGGAACAGGGGTAGATAATGGTCTGGAATAACACATAGGCTACTTTTTATCCAACGGGAACACGGACAAGGCCGCTCGCAGAGACTAAAAGCAGGAAACATTTGTTTTTGTTAATTTGTAATGAATTCATATAAAAACTGCTGGGCCAGTACTATTTAGTATTATCACCTGGGCAAAGACGGTCAACTATACATAAAAGAAGTCTTAATTACACTGATAACAGATTTATATTGGAGTTTTAAAAGAAAATTAATTGTTGTTTTCGTTATAGGTTAGGTTATCAACAAATATTTGTAAAACGTAAAATATGAGAAGTATTGAGGAGGTATCCGTTTTAAAGTTATTTTTTATGTCAAATAATTCTTATTAAATACTAGTTTTGTCACTTACTTAGTTAAAATTTAACACAAATACAAAAATATAATAGGTATCGTGTTTATTTTGACAGCTGTGTTTTATTGTTGCGAAGTGATGCGCTGCTTCAAATTTTAGTCGATTTTGTTTAGTAGTATAGCTAGTATAGTTATAGCGACATTTACCGATGCTGTAACCATTTTTAAAACAGGATTTGGAATGTTAACTTCTCAGAAAATTATATAATTTAATCTATAGTTAAGGTTGTATAATAAGAAACAAATTAAACAAAACACAGCATTCCCTTTATTACATACTAGTACCGCTAAACAAATTAATGTAATAATTAAATATAACACATGAAATCATATTTACAAAACAAATTAAAATTTAAAACTATGGACAAGGAAAACGTTGAAAGAACTTATACTACTACAATTTTATCATAAAGATAGGCGCTTCCTAAGAATCGTCTAAATGGAATGACACGTTCTAGATTAGTATCTAAGTGGTAACATTTGGATATTGCACTTTAACAACCAGCAATAAGGTCAGTTTTTGTGTTTCTTCGTTTCCCGCCATAACATGTTAATGACATTGTCAAGTCATGACATATCGAATAAAAAATTCGGTTTTGTAGGTCTAGTATTTAGAAACTAATACTAAATAAATTATACTATAATGAATTTACGAGGTAAATCATTACTAGCTGGAATAAAATTGTACTAAAGTTTGGAAGGGCACCATCAAAGCCTTGAAGCGACATAGTCAGGCTGAAAAGATAAGAAAAAAATGTTATGCTTTGATATTTCATCATTTAAATAAAATAATAGTAATCTTCTTGGATTGTATAAGTAATATAATACTTACAGAAACAAACCAGTATGAATCCTTTCTAAAAATAAGTCGCGAAATGAAACCCATTTCTGAGGCAGGCGCTATGGCGTGTAAGTGCAGATGTCTCACACTGCGGAAGGGCGGCCAGTGATATCCTAATCGAGCATCATCCAATGATAGATTATTTTTAGACAATTGTTCATGGGCTACCATCAATATTTTATTTACTGAAAAGAAAAAAATCATTTAGTCGATTATTGTTTAAAGGATTAGTGATAAATTCGAACGCAGTTTTGTATTATTATTTGTGAAATATTTTCGCTCCTGAACCGTACCCTATTTGAGTGTTGCTAGCTTTTTGTTATATTTCCGG